AAAGCTGTCTAAATCTCAACCAGGTCTCCCTTTACCAGCTTCTTTTTATAACATCATGAAAGCGGAATGGGAACAACCGGCTAAATCTAAAGCTAATCATCATTTGTTTTCTAAGTTTTACTCGTTGATGCCAGAAGCCACCAAAAGGCTGAAGTTACCTATAGTGGACAATCCAATTACTAGCCTTTCTTCTACCTCGGTGTTACCCATGGATGCAGAAGGTATGCCAAAGGATCTCTGTGATAGGCACATAGAACAAGCGCTTCGCAGAAACTTTGAAGCTTCATCTCAGTCCTTGAGAGCTTCTACGGCAGGTTCCTTATTTGCCAGAGCTGCCTACGACTGGGCGGAAAATCTAGCATCTGCAGGAAGCAGTGTTCCAAAAGAATTCAAAGACGAGCTAAAGAAAATTGCCTTGGCAGTTGCATTTGCTGCAGACGCTACCCTAGATGCCCTACAGCTTTCGGCCAGGGCTATGGCATGTAGCATGATGGCACGTAGAAATAACTGGCTTCGCCACTGGGATGTGGATTCGTCCTCTCAAGCGAAGGTGGCTGCAGTCCCCTTTAAAGGAGTTAAACTGTTTGGGGATGGGTTAGACAGGTACCTGATTGAGGACAGAGATAAGAAAAAAGTTCTTCCGTCCAAAAAGAGGGACAGTAGGGCTAGGAAGAGATTTCAGCCCTTTCGAGCCCAGAAAAAAGGGCAGAAAACCTCATTCTCCCGGTCTTCCAAGGCCAAGTGGCAATCCAGACCACACAACAAGTCCTTTACACACTCAAAAGGAGAGCACTCTCCCAATAAGGCCCCTAAGAAAACTACTTCAGTATGACTATCTGTGCTCAAAGAATCTCTCAGGGATTGGAGGAAGGCTACAGTCCTTCGCGGAGCACTGGCTCCAGACTGTTTCGGACCGCTGGGTCCTGGACACGGTAACTCACGGCTACAAGCTGGAATTTTCCTCCAAACCCCAAGAGCGTTTCATTCAGATAGCACAGCACAGAGATCGGACAAAACAGCTGCTAATGCTTGCTGCCATCCAACAGTTGGTGGACATCGGGGCGATAGAGAGTGCTCCTTCCTCTCAAAAGGGGAAGGGAATTTATTCAATATTCCTTTTGGTCCCAAAGAAAACTGGAGACACCAGAGCAATTCTGGACCTAAAATGGTTAAACAGACACATAAGAGACAGGAAGTTCAGGATGGAGACACTACGCTCCATCCTTCCAGCCATTCAGAAAGGGGACTATTTGTCCTCCATAGACCTGTCGGAGGTCTACCTGCATATTCGGATTCATGTAGACCATCGAAAATTTCTTCATTTTGTGTATGCAGGCAGGCACTTCCAGTACAAGGCTCTTCCATTTGGGTTAAGATCCTCACCGAGGGTCTTCACCAAGGTCCTTGTGTCTCTTGTAGCAATTCTGAGGTTACAGGGAGTAGAGTTCCCGTATCTGGACGATATTCTTCTAAAAGCAACATTGTTCCAGGAGAGTATCAGTGCTTCTCAGCTCACAGTGCAGACTCTGCGGGAACACGGGTTTGTGATCAACCTGGAGAAAAGCCATCTACAACCTACACAAAGTCTGATACACTTGGGAGTAAGGATAGACATGGTTCTGGACCAAGTTTTTTTCTCTCAGGAGAGAACACAAAAAATCAGAGGGTTTCTAATGGGGATACTGAAGCAAGAAAGAGTAGAACTAATGTCCCTGGCCAAACTTCTGGGCATGCTGGTGTCCTGTCAAGACATAGTACCTTGGGCACAGTTTCACGCACAACCTCTCCAGATGTTCTTACTTCCATATCAAATGTCCATAGCATGCAAGAGATTCAAGATGATACAAATACCAGAGAAGGTACGCTCGGAGTTGACCTGGTGGCTGTATCCTCATCGATTTTCACAGGGGTGCCCTCTCTGGGATCCCCAGAGAATGTTGATGACCACGGACGCCAGTCACTCAGGGTGGGGGGCGCATGCGGGTAGCCAAATAGTACAGGGAGAGTGGTCTCCGGAAGAGACACTGAAAAGCATAAACTTCTTAGAGTTGAAGGCCATAAAGTTGGGTCTTCTGAGGCTCAGCAGACAATTGTCAGGCCAACCTGTGTTAATTCAGATGGACAATATGACCGCCAAAGCATACGTGAATTGACAAGGGTGAACCAGAGTAAGGAAGCGATGAAATTGCTGAGATGGGCGGAGAAGAATCTTTTGTCTGTAAAAGCGACACATGTGGCCAGGAAAGACAATGTACTGGCAGATTGGTTGAGTCAGAAGAGACTGGACGAGTCCGAGTGGGGACTGAACAAACGAGTCTTTGTTCAGATATGCGACAGATTGGAAGTGTGATGATGGATATGTTTGCAACGGAGTCCAATCGACATGTTTCAGAGTTTTTTTCAAGAACAAAATGCGAGCAGGCCAAGGGGACAGACGTTCCCAATTGCGATTGGCCATGAGAACTGCTATACGTGTTTCCTCCAGTACAAATCCTACACAAGGTGCTTCAGAAGATCCATCAAAAATAGGTGGAAGTGGTGTTGGTGGCCCCTTTTTGGCCACATCGCGCTTGGTTTCAGGAGTTAAAAAATATGTCCATCAAAGAACCATGGCAGTTTCCCATGCTAGATGACCTGCTAGTGCAGGGCTTGGTAAAACATCCTCAACCAAGAATGTTCAGGCTCACAGTGTGGAGATTGAGCGGTAGGCGTTAGCAGCCATGGGGTATCCCAAGAAGGTTGTGTCTACTATGCTAACATCTCGAAAGAAATCAACTAATAGGGTGTATAACGCCACCTGGCGAGTGTTCCACTCTTGGTGTCTTGAAAATAAGCTAGATTCCTTTAGAGTCTCAGTGAAAGGTATCTTGTGGTTTTTGCAAGATGGCTTAGATAAAGGTCTCAGCACTAGCACCCTTAGGAGACAGGTTTCAGCCATTTCATCTGTGCAGGGGGTCTGGAGTGGGAGGTCACTGTTACATCATCCTCACATTAAGAGATTTCTTCGAGGGGCATCCCTGCTTAATCCTCCACAGGTTCATAGATTCCTACTTGGAACTTAAATACAGTTTTGAAGGTGTTGTGTAGGTTGCCATTTGAGCCAATGGCCTCGTGCCCCTTTAAGGAACTAGCATTTAAAACGTCGTTTCTAGTGGCCATCACTTCTGCACGTAGGGTGTCTGAACTCAGGGCCTCATCTGTCAATAAGGATCTTTGTACGTTCCATAAGGAGAAGGTGGTTCTCTGGTTAGATCCCACCTTCGTTCCTAAGGTAAATTCTGTTTTTCACAGGTCAGAGGAGGTGATTTTGCCAAATTTTTGTCCCAAGCCCACTCATGATAAGGAGCGGGAATTACACTGTTTTGACGTGTGAAGAGCTCTCAGTTTCTATATTGATAGGACTAAACAATGTAGGAAATCAGAATCTTTGTTTCTTTCAGAAAATCATCAGTGGGGGAGCAGGTATCCACTGCTACTCTCTGTAGATGGATCTTGGCATGTAAGGCCAAAGGTTTGGATCCACCTGAAGGGATAGTGGCTCACTCTTTATGGGAAGCAGCTACCTCAGTGGCTTATCATTCGTTTCCTTCATCGAAGGCGATCTATAGGGCAGCTACTTGGCGTTCGGTCCATTTCTTCACCAGGCACTATAGGGTGGACAAACTGGCGTTAGCAGAAGCAGCCTTTGGCCGTAGGGTTCTGCAGCACGCCCTGTAAATGCGAAGACAAATTTCCCTCCCTTGGGGCTTGCTTTTTTACGTCCCAACTGTACGGACTGTCCCACTGTATGAACCACTGGAGAATGGAAGATTTGTTCACTTACTGTGAAGCTTCCTTTCTCGGTGGTTCAGAAGTGGGATGGTCTGGCCCACCCAGTTTGTGGGGGGTTATCTCTTGTCACATTTGCAGTGGGTGTTGTAAGTTCGGTAGTTGAACAAGAAGCCTGGTAGGCCGAGTTCGCCCAGATAGGTTTCTCTGGGTATTCCCTAGGGGAGTAGGGGGTCTATTCTCCAATTCCAGAATATCTCTAGTCTGGAGGGTGGGGTTATGTTAGTTGTCAGTTGACATTTGGTTAGACTCTCTGGTTTGGAGAGGTGTTCCTCCTTCTAGTGTTTCCATTCTCTGAATTGCCTTTACAGAAGAAGAGAGAGAAGAAGAGATTGGATTTATACCACACCCTTCACTACCCGAGGGAGCCTCAGAGCGGCTTACAATCTCCTTTCCCTTCCCCTCCCCACAACAGACACCCTGTGAAGTAGGTGGGGCTGAGAGAGCTTTTTCGAGAACTGCTCAAGATTGAACTGCTCAGAAAGAACTTGTAACTGATACCAGCAGCTGCATGTGGGGGAATCAAACCCGGGTTCTCCTAGATTAGAGCCTGTGCTCCTAACCACTACACCAAACACGCCACCCCCCCGAACACCTAAAGCCAAAAAAGCATGGAAATGACAGTAGCCTTAATGTCTGTCCCATCTAAGTAGTAAACATGTTCCCTACAGCCTCCCATAACATGCTGACATGCAGCTGAGTACCTGTGGACTATCCCTTCAGTCTTTCAAGCCCCAATTCTCTTCCTTCGCACCACAGGGGTTAGTGGGCTTCAGACAGCATGCTGATCCCTGCTGTCCCTCTATATTTCCACTTGGGTTAGAGAAAGTGGGGATAAGATTGACAGGCAAGAGATGGATACGACTGGGGACAGACAGGCATTGGGATTCGAGTCTAGTGACACACATAGCCTTTGCAACAGACAGGCTTCATTTACAATTAATAGAATTTACATGCAGGCAATATCTGATGTTCTGATAATGCTTGGATTATTATTTCTACTTCTATCTTTACCTCTGTCTGTGTTACAGTAGACTACGTTCCCTCCTTACATGGCATGGAAGTTAAGGAAGGCACCTGATCTTACAATATCCATGTGTGTTGGTACACAAGCGGATTCATAAACTTCTTAACTCAAAGTTTCTTCAGTCCTAAAATGACATGTAAAATTAGAATTTATTAACAAATCTGATTGTTTGTTCTCTCATGCTATGTTTATGCCAGTATCTCATGATGTATGGGAAAATCTGTTAACTAACTACAAACTTGCCCCCTATTCTCAAACCTTTTAATAAGACAACATGTAGCAAGAAACGTTCAAAAAACCTGTATTACAAAAATAATATTTAAAAAAGAGCAAACCATGAGGCTCTAGCCATAACACACATTCATGCTTATCACAAACCAGTCAAAAAGGCAAATATAAAAGAGCCAGCAAGTGTTTCCCCAGGGTTTAAGGCTGAATATTTAAGCAGAGCTGAGCTGATGTAAATGAGAATGCAAAGTTTAGAATCACATTTCCTGGCCCAATTTACCATCACTTTTGCACATGATGTGGAGGGGAAGATTCCAGATGTTGTTATACTATCACACACATATCCCTTTCTCTAGGTCTGTTTACCAAGGGAGAAAAGTGAAAGCACATGTTTTTAACCAAGGTCAGAATGCCATTTAACCATGGAATTCTTAATGGTATTTACAGAATTCCCAGGCGGACATGCTGAACTTCAGCAAGTTAGCTATTTCACATGCCTTCCAGTTACATCCTGGACAGTGTTCCCTATCCTACTGTAAAATATCTTTCTGGAAGCAAGGCTCCTGGATCCAAGACAATCAGAATGGAAAGTGACCAGTCACAGCCTCTAAAACTAATAGGACTGCAAACTTTTTTTAGATGGAGGGTTCTGGCAAGGTGCTATTCACCTAAAACCTTCCAGAAGTTCTATTTGTACTAACATTCAAAGGCAAGAGACAGAGTAACTTGTCAACTCCCCAAATCCAGCTGCGTCAGCAGGTTTGTGGTAAGCTTGTATGGATGGGTTGCCAGAGTGGGTTCTAACAGTGAAGGGAGATGTATGTGCCATGACGTGAGTAGTGGACGGGGAGTTCTGGCCAAGGGGTAGTGCCAGAGATAAATTCCACATATATGGCATGGATATCACCAGTGCTAACAGCCTCACCCCGTGCCTGTTCTTGCATGATTTGCACAAATTCTTCACTTTCTCCACTATCACCCAACCATTGGGGGGGGGGGGCTTTTTGGATCTACCCAGAGAGCAGCTGTCCAGGACAACCACGGCCTACAACCCAAGTCAGACAACCCACCGGAGTCCACCACGCTGAGCCTTTCCTGCTCACAGCAGCCTTCACCACCTCAACTGTTTTCCCATCAGCTCAGTTCAGCGCCAGGCCAAGGCCCTCACAATAGGGGAAGAGGAGCTGGCGGGTCATGCTGTCTCAGTCCCAGTTTGCACCTCTTTCTGCAACCAGAGCTGCTTGTGCTGCTTGCGCCCAAAGCCCTCGTCATAGTTGCCTTTACTCTTGAAGAGCTGTTGAAAGTGTGGTTTGCAGTAGAATTCTCCATGAAGAGCTGCGTAACTGCCCAGGCTGGAAAGGAGGAAGAGGCACATGTTAGGGCTGGCTAGGAAAGGATGGATGCAATGCAGTCTTACTCCAGGAAGGACGACTCCTGGAAAAGCAGAAAAGCCCTAAAACAGAAGTTTTATGGTGCCACGGGCTCAGCCTCAAATTATCTACCTGGAACAGCCCATCTAAGCGTCCTTGTGAGGGTTAGGGTTCCATGCTGTTGCGGCAAACTCAGCCATTTGGGCGGAGGTTGTTTTCTCCTCTGCTTGCACGGCTGGAGGCACAAGCGACAGGGCCTGATGCCTGAATCACTTAGTCCTCTTAGTCCCCTCCAGGATGCCTTCGTTTTCTATGGTTTATTTGTTTAAATTACTTCTTTTGAATTCTGGAAATTTGTTTGGATCCTTTTGGGGAGAAAAGTAACGCTGAAATGTCCTAATAAATGTTTTGAACCCCCCCCCCAAAAGCCCAATAAAAAGCATTAATTTCATGGGAGAATAATACAGGCTTCCACAATCCATCCCTGCTGTAAAGGTAAACATACATCAATTTAACACTGAACTGTCTCACTATCAAATGAGAATTCTCATCATTCTTTCAGTATTATTTGTTATGATTATAGTACCCTTATACACACTGTAATATTTTGAACATTTTTCTCACGTGCAGACATTTCCTTCACTGAATACACTTCTCAGAAATGCTTCTCACTTTCTGGACATATTTTTCCTCATTTGAGACAGTACACTGGAGCAATAGAGAAGGAAGCTCTTTCTTTGGGAAACTGCAAAGCTGTTCGGGAAGGTGTGAAAACATACCCACCTTCCTCTCCATCTCTGATCCCTAAAAACTGGCTATTTCTCCCTAAGGAGGGAAGAGCCAGATGCCCATCAATAGTTTCATGGAGGGGTAGGAGGGGTAGGAACACTGCTCATTCCTTTCAAAATCTCAGAATCCAGAAACTCCCATGTACATTTCTCTTGGAGCACACTAAAGGTTTTTCTGAGGGGGATCCATCCACTTGTATTTGGTTGAACGCATCATGTCCATTGGACTAATGTATATGCAATGTACTAGGGATCATTATAGTTAGCCACACTAAGGTTTAATTTTGTTTTGTAGTGTTCATATTCCATTCCTTCCCATGGTTTCCTTCTCTAGTTTGGTGTCGTGGTTAAGTGCGCGGACTCTAATCTGGGAGAACCGGGTTTTATTCCCCACTCCTCCTCCACTTGAACCTGGCTGGATGACCTTGGGCAAGCCGTAGTTCTGACAAGAGCTGTCCTTGAAAAAGAGCAGTTTCTGTCAGAGCTCTCTCGGCCCCACCCACCTCACAGGGTGTCCGTTGTGGGAAGGGGGAGGGAAAGGAGTTTGTAAGCCGCTCTGAGACACCTTTAGATAGTGAAGGGCGGGGTATCAATCCAATCCAATCTCTTCTTTTTCTTCTTCTCTAGCCTTCCTCTTCCCCCTGGATTCTCACATCTTTTTGCCTGCTTGTTTTTCCCAATAAAATTGTGTGTGTTCCCCCCCCCAACAGGAGTTCGTCATATTTTGTTTTAACTGGTATCCGAAGATTTTTTAGGTGCATATGAGGGGGCCAGGGAGTGGGACCTGAGGGGATCATGTTTGACAGAAGGTTGAGCTGAAACTAGGAGGATTTTTGGTTGCTTCTATTGCAGGAGCAGTCAGAGAGGAAGGGGGGGGGGAAGCCACATCTTCCTCACACTTGGCCTTCTAAATATGATTTCATGTGACAGAAAATACAAAACTAAATTAGTACATCTCTTCCCCATGGCTGTATTTATGTCATCACAAGAGGGCACATTTGTCTTCAAATAATGTATTCATTTAAAATTATGTAATTTTTACTTGTTCTATTTATTATTGATTATTCTATTTAATTATCTAATTATTTTATCTAATCTATATACTAATAGCCAAGTTGCCCCCTCCATGTGGATATCTAAATCCGCACATCGGGGGCACTTGGGGGGCAAAGAGATTATCCTGCACATTTGGTGCAATCACCAGGTGTGCAGAAAAATCCAAAAAGTTGAAAAAATAAACGGGGGATATTTAAATCCCCCCAAAAGGTAAAAGAGCGTTCCCTGCGCATGTGCAGAGAATGCTCTGGAAACTCTGTGGCGGGCCGGCAGCTGGAAGCCGCTCAGGTCTCGCCGCCAGAGCTGGGGGGGGATCAGTGGGCCCGGTGGAGAGGCCGGGGCCGGGGTGGAGGAGATTGGTGGCCTCGCTGCTGGAGTCAGGAGGAGATCAGCGGCAGAGCTGGGGAAGGAAAGAGATTGGTGGCCCCGGCGGCTGGAAGCTGCTCAGGCCTCGCCACTGGAGTCAGGGGAGGGGAAGCTTACCCTTGGCCGCTTCCTCATCCCTGAGGTCCTCCTGCCTCCGCAGGCCAGGAGCCGGGGGGAATACTCCCCCCTGTGAGTACCGTGGGTCCCTCTTCTTGTTTTATCTAATTTTTATATTATTCAACTTTACTTTTTTATTTGCTAATTTGAAGGAAGCCTGGGTTTTTAGTAAAAATGTTTAGGCAGCCAGTTTGAAGTTGCATATTCGGTTACCAATTATAATTCACAATCTATCAGTGTCTCTGTCAGCAATTAATTTTTACCAGGGTAGTAATTAAGTTTTGATTCGGTTTTCCTCCCTGTCAGTCTGCCAGCTCTCCCAGCAGCTGGTTGTTTTAAAGGCTGTAATCCTAAAAACACTTTCCTGGGAATAAATGCTATTGAATGAAAAGGGCTTACTTCTGAGTAGACCTGCTAAAGATTGCTATCAAAATTTACTGCATTCTCACCTGCCCACTGTTCTAGTGCAAGGTTTTGAAGTTTATTTTTAAGCCTCCTAATTTTTAAAATACAGTTCATCTATTTTTAGTATCTGCTGCTTTTGTTATTTTAAAACTACAATTTTAACTGTTTAAATAATTAATCTTTAACATTTATTTTACTGATCATGTTTGGTACAATAGGTATTTAGAGTGGGTAGGAAGAGGGGTTGTCCTTTCAATTCTATTAATTCCCCTACTGTCAGCTGTGCTGCCATGGGGGTTGGGGAGTTCATTCTGGGTCTCCTCTTTACCGTGAGAGACTCCTAATTCCCAGCTTTAGTCACCTAGCGGTTTCCTAAGTTATCCCGCGCGCGGGAGGGGACCTAATTGGCCCATGCCGGGGGGGAGGGTGCATACGAATACCCTATATCCTATTAGGCTCTATGGGTCTCCGCCATTCTTAACAGTGCCTATGTTACTGCTTCTGTAGCTTGGCAATAAAAGTATAACCGTTCCTGAATGTGTGTACTTCGTTGTTACCTGTTGGTTCTGACACCTACTCCAAAACAAAGCAAATAGGTACTTTTTTTTTACTTTTGGAGTTGAAACCTCAAATAGATTTCATATTTTACAGGATGAACGGCCAGAAAATGATGTTACTGAGGGACAAGGTGGACAAAGTGAATCCTGTATGCAGGCAAAGCCTATTTTAGATCCTATTTCTAGTGAGAACCTGGTTTCATGAAATAAATTCTATTCTTTGGAAATGAAGAGGGGGAAATACGATCAGTTAGGTACTTTAGACCTTCTGGCTACACAGACATTCTTAACTCTTTGCCCTTTTCTTTCTCCATTATGGTCTCTGGCACATGTATGATTTCTTTATTTTTCTCTTTAGAGAGAGAGAGTGATATCTTGGCATAAAAAATGGTATATATCTGGTAAACTATCACCCAAAAAAAGTTGACTTAAAACATCTTGGAAAAATACCAAGTTCCCATAGGGAAATTTGCTTGACTCTTTCTTTCTATACCTCTAGTATTCTCTCTCAAATTCTGGCTAATCAAAACTCGTTTAGCTCCTATGAGATGCTCCCACAGAATTAATCCAATTGTAATTCCACTTGTCCCTTGGGGGGGGATTAATCAGAAGGTAGCAAAGAAAATAAGTTTAATGCCTCCCGAAAGACTGGAATTTTTTTACTAATGACTGACCCTTGACTGAATTTTCACCAACCAAGGAAGATGTTGCTGATCAACTGGATTGCGCATATAAAATAACTCGTGATGTATTTAATCTAATAAATGAAGTTAAAACTTTTTCTCCTTTACCATCCCTCTTGAAGGATACTCAGCCGAATCTAGTGGATGAGGACCTTCTTCAATCATTTTGCTACCTCCCTTATGAGGAACAAGGCAATATAATCACTCAGTTTCAGAAGCTACAGCATACACTATCACAAATTAGTCTGGAACATAATCTGCCAATCAATCAAAGAAAGTCAGCTTTAGCTGCAGCTACCATACATAAGCCTTCTGACAAAAATGAGAATTAACCTCTACCTAACCTGAGACCTAGTCCATTAGGAGAGAAGATTCTTATCCCTCTTAAAACAAAAGCCATAATCAATGCAGGGAATACTACCAATCTGGCTATATCATATTGCACTGTACTAAGGAAATGACTGAGTGGGGCTCATGGGCTACATATCTTAAGGTGGAATATAGCCAGATGGCTTACAATAGCTCATTGTAAGGACACTAAAGCATTTCTAGCTTCCTTTGATATTTTATTCCTTCAGGAAATTTAGTTAAGAAGAGCCCTGTTGGATCAGACCAATAGTCCACCTAGTTCAGCATCCTGTCTCACACAGTGGCCACAACCGTCCAACACAAGCTGCGGGGTTGGGTCCCAGATGGGAGGGGATGCCTGGACCACGGGCGGCAACAGCAGCTGGCACCCCCTGCCCAGGTACCCCCCCATGCAGGTGCCCCCAGTACAGGTGCCACCTGGACAGGTGCCTCCAGTGGGTCCTCCAGGATCCCCAGCTCCAGTCACCCTGCTGCCAGGACCCGAGTGGCCCCAAGAATTACTGGACGCCACATTTGATGGCAACCCTGAGAAGCTCGCTTTCTTCTTGCTGCAGGTGCACAAGTTCCTATGAGACTGGGGACCCACGCTCACCTCAGACGAGCACCGGGTGGATTACATCGGTTTGCCCCTGAGAGAGCGGGTGGCGGGTTGGTTCGTGGGCCTCCACACCAGAGGCCCCGAGCTCTGTGACATACACACATTTCTGTGGACCCTTCAGAGACAATACGAAGAACCCCTTGAACTGAAGAAGGCCCGAATCAAGCTGCGGGCTCTGTGCCAAGGAAACCGCTTGATGTATGAGTTCGCGGATGAGTTCAAGATGTATGCAGCAAAGGTACGGGGTGGCTGTAAGAAGTCCTCATCGAGCTTTACTGTGCGGGCCTGAACCATGCCATCCTGGAGAAGGGGGAAAGGGAACCCCTTAACCCTCAGCAGATGGATCAGAGAAGCCAATGCTGCCTTGATCAAGATGTACCAGCCAAAGACAACCCCTAGGACCCTGGTGGGGGAACCGAAAGGGCAACACAATAAAGCCAGAGAGACCATGCAAGACCGACGGATGAAATGGGTTGTGTCTGAGATGCGGAGAGCCTGGCCACTATGCTGCTAACTGCCCTACCGACCTCACCCCGTGAGAGGAGAAGGGTGGGGAGCGCCAAAGCTCCAAAGCGCAGCCAAAACCTGGAGGAGCACATCCCAAGCGAGGGCTCTCCAACTCAACACAGGGGGTAGTCCTGACGGAGCTTCATCGGACGGAGATGATGCCTCTCAGCCACAGGGAAAAGGCTGGGACCTGCTGTGAAGGGCACAACCTGGCAGGGCCGAAAGCATCAGGTGCCAAAATCGGTGAACACTACCCCCTCCCTTGTTCTTTGTGACTGTAACGGTGCTGAACTGTGAAATGGGCACCCAAGTGAGAGTGAGGGTATTAATTGACTCAGGGTGTGCTAGAGACTTAATAAACCCTGCAATAGTGACTGGGTTGGGAGTACCAGTACAAACCCTTTCTGAGCCCTTGCTGTTCACTCAGATGGATGGTCCCCCAATGAAGGAGGCGTGTAAATACCAGATGGTACCAGTGCTCATGGGGACGGGGCCCCACTGGGAGCAGCAAGCCTTTGTAATCAACCCCATGGCCAGGTTTTCCATGGTCCTGGGGAACCCATGGCTGCGAGACCATAATCCCTACATGCAGTGGAGTGCGGGCATGCTTCATTTTCCCAACCCTAAGTGCAATGACCATGAGTGGAAGCAAGAATGGGGGGAGGTTCCACCAGCCCTGCCAGAACGAGCGTGTCTAGCCCAAGGGGAGCTCAAATCTATCCATGTGGAGTATAGAGACCTGGCCCCGGTGTCTGAAGAAGAAGCTGGTGTGCGGCCCCCCATCATAAAAAAGACTGTGCCATAGAGCTTTTCCTGGGGCATTTCCCAGGCACCCACAGTATCTTATACATTGCTTGAATTACAGTTGTCACTAGACCTCTTTAATAAAGCTATTTGTTACTCTGCCTGGGTCCTCCTGCCTCAGAGGGTGAAACGTGCTGGAAAGGAAGGGAAACAAGGGAGTCAGGTGGTCTCCTGAGGGGACCCTAACAGAGGAGTGGTGGCAGCCTATGGACAGCCTCCCTCGTCCCTCCCTGTGACAAAGCAGCTGAGTCACGCAGAGCAGTTTCTCCGTGCAGATCTGCCGTTTAAAGGGAGTTTCTTGGGTAGCCACCAATGGCCAAGAAAGCCCCTTTAAACAGTTGAGCTGTGCAGAGCAAACTGCTCCCATAGCTCAGTTGTTTAAAGGGGTTTTCTTGGGCAGCCAGCCCCAGTCTCGGAGCCATTTAAACCCCTGCTTTATGCTCCCTGCAGTTTTTCACAGTGGAGCAGAAAGCAGTGATTTAAATGGCTCCCAGCCATTTAAACCAAACAGCTGAGCAACTGTTTTTTATAAAGTGCAGAAAGCAGGGTTTTAAACCCCTGCTTTCTAGTCTTTATTAACCAGCAAGAACTGCATCAAAATGTGTGTAAATTCATGGTGGTTCTTCAATTCGCAAACATTGCTTCACAAACCAGCCAAAATTTGTGACAAACTTTAGTTCTTCAGCCAGCTCGTGCCCATCCCTGCACATGGATACTTTTCAGTGAACTCTGCCTGAAGACATGAATAGGATACTTGACGAAGTGAGGCCTGCCACCTGCCCATTAAACAGGTATCCTTAACAGATAGAGGGATTAGTAAGGAGGGGCTCACTAATTAGAAGATGCCAATTATCAATGAGCGCTGTTTTTGACCTTCAAAGTTATTTACAGCTTCAGCCCAGAGTACCTGAAGGGCCACTTCCACCCACTCCAGCCAACCCAAGACTGGCCAAGGTGGCTGCCTTCTGGCAACCGTCCTTGAGCAGAAGCTCAGCTGGTGGAAATCCAGGAAGGAAATCTCGGAACTCCTCCCACTGCAGTTGAGAACAACTCTGCTTCCCTGAGGGCCTTTCAGACAGGCTCAACGACCTGCCTTTTCCAAAGGGCCTTTGAGCTAGGTCAGTAAGAAATGGAGTGGTGAGGGGCGTGGTACTGTTGGAACACTGTATTTTATTAATTTATAATTTTTTCACTGTACTTAATTTAATTTTTATTTGTTTCTGAGTGGACTATTATTGATTTTATTGTACTGTAAACCACCCTGGGGACTCTCAGTTGAAAGGTAGTCTGTAAATAAAGAAGCTAGATAATTAACTCACTCAAAAATAACCCCTCCCTTTTCTGGTTACTGGCTAAACTCTATACAAAGCTGCCACTGTCAAAAGGAAGCTGGTCTTCTGGCTCAGTGCCACATCTTGGTCAGACCCCATGCATGATAGAGTAGTGCAGACTTCATTAAAAAACCCCAAAAACCTAGGATTCTCACCTAGGCCACTGGGCTAACACTCAAATTGGGCCCGGTTCCTAGTTTGGTTGCTGAGAAGAGGTGAGTGAAGCTAGATATGAAACCAAATTGGTGGGGAAGAGTGTGAAACAAATGCCAAACTACACACAGGTACACATGAAGCTTCCTTATACTGAATCAGACCCATGGTCCATCAAAGTCAGTATAGTCTACTCAGACTGGCAGCGGTCTTTCATATCACCTACTGCCAGATCCTTTAACTGGAGATGCTGGGGTTTGAACCTGGGACCTTCTGCTACCTAGCATCCCTCCCCATCCCCTTCTCTCAGACCACAAAACTTTGCTTCTCCTGACCCTCTCACCTGAGCTTGGCATGGCAGTGCTTGCAGCAAAAGCAGGTGGTATGGAAAACAAATTTATCAGCCACTAGACGCTCCATGGGGTAGACTGTCTTCTGGCAGGCGCTGCATGTCTCCTTCACCTGGGATTTCAAGCTGAATGACTAAGTGATAAACAAAGGGTTGAAAGCATTACAACGCGCACAATTCATTTGAACAATTAGTTCTGCCTTTCTCCTAATGGTTGGAACCAAGTGACATAATATATGGAATGGCAAGAACAACATATAAACAACAAGGCATTTGTAAGCAGTGCAAAGTCAACAACACATCACAATACAAAAATGCAGCCTGTCCCAGGATGGTTTGTATGGAAAAAATCCAAAGGGGGAAATAATGGAACTCCGAATAACTGTAGGTGAAGCCGTGTTGCTGTTGTTTCTATCAAAGATTCCAGGAAACTTAAATTTCACAAAAACAAGATACAGGAATATGACCAACTAGAAACAAAGTTATACAGCAATTTATCCAAAAAGTGAATTTAAAGTCAGCAACAAAAGTCAATTAAGTTAAGAAGAATTGTAAAGTACTTTCTAAAGTAAAGTTGCTAATAATCCAGGTTATCAGTTAACCAAACATGCTGGTTAGCAAAGCTTTTACAAGAAACTTGGATGGCGGCTTCTGGTCTGTGGCACGCCATCTTCAGCGGGTTCTCTCCGGAGCTACCGAAGAAACCCCTGAACCTCCCGGTTTCTAGCAGGAGGGCCAGATTCACTGGCCTCCCAAGCACTCTCCTGGAGGGAGGTGCTGGGGGGGCAGCTTGATTCGGGGGCTCGTGGATGCATCGTCATCCATGTAGACCCCTTATTGCTCCATGGCAGAAACCAAGAAGAGAGCGCTTGCGGGGAGCCGCAAGCGCACAGGAGCCATCGAACGATCTAAGAGTGTACGAACCTCACCATAAACAATGGTGACGACAACCTTTATGCTGTTAATACATGGAAATGCAACAGCGATCAACTTAACAACTTATTCTGTGAGAAGCCCCTTTGATTTGCCCAAAAGGTGAAGGAAACGGGGAGAGGGAATCATCCCCCCTGCGTCTCCTTTTGAAAAGCGGCTGTGATAAAACCAGGATCACAAAATCTACCAAACAGCTCCAGGGGCAAAAAGACTCAGGCACGGTTGGTTAAATACTTTTACTACTTCAATATTTTTCTTTAACCTCATCTTTACTGAAGAAACATCTTTGATGCTGTTGAATCAATCCCTCTTGTTTCTACTTTATGGGAGTTAAAAGGTTTGCAGTGAATGAACTGTGATGAATAGTTTAAACAGAGAGTGATCTCAACACCAGTGTGAGGCTGTGTTTTGTGTTTTGGAAAGACTGTCTCTTGAATATAATAAGAGTCTGCATATTGTTTTGGATTACCGTGAAAGATTTTTGGACTTAAAGATGGCTACTGGGACTGATTTGTAAGTGCGTTTATCCTCGTGAGATTTACAAAAATTACAATCATAGAGACTAATTTTGCTGGATAAGACCTCTGAAATTGTTTTGAAAGCACGGCCACTTCTAGGAGATTTGTAGGAATTACAATCATAGAGACTAACGTTGCGGAATAGATTTAAGCTTAGTTGCAGCTTGGAAATTGCCTTTCAAAATGTGTGCAAGGAACCTGACAAGGTAGACATTCCAGTCAGTGTGCAAAGCTTTGGAGTGCAACTACAGAAGATTATTCAAGACGCAGTTGAACAAGCAATAAAATAAATATTTGATAGACTCTACAACAAGGGACAGACTACTCAGAAATTGAAAATGAGAGGAATTACAACATCAACAGATGTTTGTTAAAGAGGAAGATCTCAAGCAAGATGAATTACTACATGGATTATGCTTTACAATAAAAGACAAGAGGAGAAGAAACTATGTGGAATAGGTTAATAGGTCTATGGAAAACTTGACAACACATTTAACTTTGGGATACAGACCAACTATTCCAGCAAAAAAGAAGACAAGAAGATATTCAGGTCAGGATTTATCAAGTATCCATATAAAGGATTGTGGATGGGAAAGAAAATTGACAATTTGGCTTTTATGCAAAGAAGAAAAACACAGGATTATGACTCTGGTGGAAAAGAAATTTCAGAAGAAAAAGAAAAGAATGAAACAGCACAAATAGAATGGCACAGAGGGTCTTGACTTGTGTAAATGACTAATATGAGGCATAGCTGAATCTTATAGAAAAATTATAAAAATGAGAATTTGAATACCATATAATAAATTTGATTCTAAAAGGTTTAACTGAAATAAAACATTATATTAATTTAAACAACCTTATATATAAAGTATAGCTGTGACCCATTAAGAAAAGTTTTATGACATGGTTTTAAAAGGGAAATTACTTAAGATAGTATAGCAGAAAAAGTAAAGTAGTTTATTCTTGTTGTTGTATGCTCCTCCTGAGTAGGTTAAGCACACTGAATAAGTAATGATGATGCAGTATAACCATGGCAAAAGAAGTACAAAAGGTAAAGAAACATGTTTAAAAAGTGATTATGAACATTACTCCAGTTAACAACATATTGTAGTAGGATATGTAGTTATGTTGATATGTAGAAGAAAGTACATTGGATTGCTTAGATTAATCTTACTGCCTAAGGCTAGCTTATAGCTAAATAATGATAATTTTACTGACAAGGGCAAAATGTTTAAAAAATAATAATGTTGTTATGGTGACATAGATGATTGACACATGGAGAATTTGTAACACTCGTTTTTTGTTTTGAAACCTAAAAAAATTGTTTATAAAAAAAAGAAGAAGAAACTTGGGTGGCATTGCCAGTTAACCAGGCTGAGCGGCCGAGTGGCAGAGTGCTGGGTTTGCATGCAGGAGGCCCCAGGCTCAAACCCAGACAACTTCAATTAGAAAGCATCAGGCAATGTGAAAAACCTCTACCTTGTTCAAGTGTGTCCTTATAATCATTTGACCTTGTAGAAAGGAACAAAGTTATCTTCAAATAGATAAGGTATAAAGATTCAAGACCCACCTGGCTGATGTAATGGATGGTAGGAAGACGGATTTAGCGGACAGGTTGTAACGAGTGGTGATGGACCTTGTGGAGACCCCATGATGATGCCTATGAATCGGTGGCAGATGTAACCGAGAAGCTCTTCTTAAGAAATGGATGGGAAGAGAAAGTTTTTGTGTCCTTGGAAGAGTAAGCAGAATTGAACACTACCATTTTAAAGTGTTTGGATGAAGATCTTGGACCCGCCCTGATCGTAGGAATGCAAGTGATGTGTTTGTGTCTATGCCTGTAAACAAATTAATGCCTTCCAAAATGTTTTCTGTATGCCACCTATGGAATCCTTGTAAGATGCTAAGATGGTATTGACGAAAGCATTGGGATATCCCCATTGTTCTAGTGATCTTAGTTCAGTGCCTTGATAGAGAAGTAGGGCAAAGCAGGGAATGGAAGTAGTGAGAAGGTGGAAGAATGGCCGATCAGACAAGGTCTGAGAACTTATGCAGCCTATGCAGCTGGTGGGAGGCCACCAGGGTGACTTTGGCCCTGCACAGCCTGACCTTACTGAGAATTCTGGTAAGAAATGGCACAGGTGGAATATTATAGAGGACACAGAGAACATAGTAGAGGTGACTCAGAGGCCAATATTAGGCGAGAGCATTGGCTCCCACTGCTCCCTTGAACAGGAAACAGGAGCAGAACCTCTGAAGTTTGTTGTCCACAAGCCTCGCCTCCCTTGTTTTGCTCTGACCATCCAAGTTTTAAGGCTCCTTTCTGCTGGGCTGAGATCTTACCAATTTAGCTGGTCCACTTTAAATATGATGATTCCCTGAAGGTGTAAAAACTTCAGCAATGTGAGATGGCTCTCTAGCCAAATGAGGATAACCAGTAACTGAGTCCTCAATTCTTTCTCGTCAATTTATAGACTTTCCCTGTCATATTGCTCATTCAAACCAGAATATCAATATGACTTCAACATACATGCTGAGTGCTGCTTGCCAGCGCTAGCCAGGGTTCTGTAGCCTCTTTGTCTCCCAAGGGTCTCTCTCAAGTCACGATGGGCCCAACACATGAAGAAATTTACACTTTAGACTTAACCTTTTGAACTGAGCCACTGAGGGGAAGTCTGATTTTAGCTGGGCCACTTCCTGCTCAAGACAAGGGTAAATTGGGGTGGGGTGGGGTGTCCCATCCATAGACTGGATTCCAGAATGCTGGGGGGGGGGTAGGATTCTAAAAAGATGCCCTGTTGAAACTGCAACGGGAGATTAGAATGTTAAGCTCCTGGAAGCTATTGACTATTTTGCCCCTCATTAGTCTCCGGCCCTCAAGGTAGAATTCAGTTCCTTTATTATGAAGCCAGGCGATCTGAAGGGGGTCAGACAACACCTAGAGCAGTACTGGTGGAAAACTTCACCAAAATCTGAAAGAATATAATTAAACTGGAAGACCAATGAGTCAGGGGTGACAGTGGCAATGTGCTTTACTTCTCTGTTACCATAGTTTGCAACCTACTCAATTGTTGAAGTTACTTTAGTACTTCCTGACTCCAAAATCTGAGCCTCGGATTTCTCAGGAACGGGTGATAAGTTTTGATGAAACTGAAAATTGTTTTGCTGACGAAATCTCACTAATACATTCCAATCTGAATGTAACAGTTCAGATAGAAGTAACATCATGTGGTGTCAGAATCGGACCCTTGCCGGGTCATCGGGCCATCATACTTGTGACTATGGTTCTCTGATGTACATAGCTATGCTCTGTTATTGCTTCGCTAGCTGTTCTCCCTCCCCGCTTGTAGTTCCCAAGCTCCCGTCTAGCACCTGCTGGCATTGAATCAATCTGTCTGCAAGGTCCCCCTCTGACATTCCTGGGAGAGGGGACGATTGAGACATGTCTGTGTGAACCTTAGATTAGCTGCACTTGTACTTCTGTGAAAGGAAGCATACTCCACAAAGGCCAGAGGGAACTTTCGCCGTTTCTCATTCTCATGGCCTTGCAGAGAGACTCAAGTGATAACATTCACACCGTCCTAATTGCACTGTATTAACCTGTCTATGCACTATGTAATCATGACGTATGAATGAGGGTTGGACCAAAGGTCTCGTAGTTTCCCACTTTGTATTATTCCTTA